GTCCGCGTGGAATTTAAAAAGTAGCCTATGTATTCCAGACTATCCTCCACATGTATGCCAAATTTCATCAAGATCTACTCCGCTGTTTAAGCTACAAACTCTAACAAACATCCATCCATCTAAACTTTCGCATTTATCATATTACTTAGATTAATTTTGTGTTTTTTCTATCAGCTAGAAGATGAAGAGTCCCTGGGTGGGTCATCCCCTGAGCGGGGTACTGAGAGTGCGGAGGCTGGGGAGGCTAGGGAGGGTGCGTGCGGGTGGCGGGGGTGCGGCGCGCGGCTGCACAGCGTGGCGCGCCTCTCCGCGCACATCGCCCGCGCGCACGCGCACGCGCATAGAGACGGACTCTTTTACTGCGGCTGGAAGGGATGCTCCAGACCACAAAGAGGATTTAACGCAAGGTAATTTTCAAAATAATCATATTTCATACTAACGGCTGAACGGATCTCGATGAAATTTGACATCTTATAGAATAGTATGGAAGAACACATAGGCTACTTACTTTTGTTTTTTTATAATTCCACGCAGACGGAGTCGTGGGCAAAAGCTAGTAACTACATAAAAGTAATCCATGTTATTTAAATTTCTTTATTAGTACTGAAAACAGGTAATTTTTAATAAGTTTTCAATGATTTTAATGAAAACGAAAGTTTCTACTTTTGTCGAAAATAAATTTGAAAATAAAATTGCTGTAAACATACGTCAGTTTTAAATTCTGAATTTCTCTATAACAATGTTAAAGTTATTCCTAATAAAGAATGTCGAAGACATAACCTTGCCTAACAGACGATTTAAATATTTGCACAAACCGCAACTGTTTGTTCCGAACCGTCTTGCGTGTGTTATGTTTGCGTTGTGTATGTCCATTTATGATAGAAACTAAAACCTACTACTGTGATGTATATTATTGTATATATCTATCACATATTAACTATTTTTTTTTCCAACAGATACAAGATGTTAGTACATGTCCGCACGCACACCAACGAGCGACCTCACACATGCAATCAGTGCAACAAATGCTTCTCTAGAGCAGAGAACCTAAAAATACATCTCAGATCTCATTCAGGAGAGAAGCCCTACGTCTGCCCTTATGAGGTAAATACAGACGTAACATGTATTTTCTATATTAACTAGTATTATAAAGAAATTACTCATGAATGAAATAACTAAAAAACTATAGGGACGACTTCAAAAATTCTTGAACCATTAAAAAAACTATGTTATTACTTAGTAACATGGGCTGTAATTCCTATTTTTTTTATTCCACGCTGACGAAGCCGTGAGCAACAGCTAGTGCATTTATAAAATTAAAACAGACTTCTACAATAGTTACATATATAACACAAAATTTACACAGCTGCTTTAAACTAATTTACTAAATAATTTATATTGTTAACAGGGTTGCGGCAAAGCGTACTCAAACTCGAGCGACCGCTTCAAGCACACACGCACGCACACAGTCGACAAACCGTACTGCTGTAAAATACCAGGCTGCAATAAACGATACACTGATCCCTCCAGCTTGAGGAAACACGTCAAAACATACAAACACTTCGCACCGGAAGAGACAAAACGGGATTCTTCAGACGAAAGTCACGATAGATTTTCACCTACTAAAGACTATCTCATAGAACCTATATCACCTTTACGTGGATATACATACAATGAGATATCTTCACAGAAATTACAATACAATTTACAAATACCAGAGCAACAGCTTACGTTATACCCTCAAGTGACATACGTAAGGCCTTTGGAACCTTACCCAATAAGAGTACCGCAAAACGAAATGTCATATCTAGAATATACACAAATGTATGAACATGCGTACAGAAATTACTATACAAATAGTATAAATTATCCTGTTATGCCTTTTAATGAGAAATCTTATAATGAGCAGAGTCTACCTGAAAGTACCAGGCGACCAGAAGTATATAAAGATATAGACGCTCCGTTGAATTTGATTTGCTCGAAGAAAATAGATTACAAGCCGATAGAAGATCTAGTCACATTCAATGATTTACCCTTAGATTTAAGCACAAAGAGTTGATGCAATATTTAAAATAAACTATTTATTTATAAAACATCTTATTTTTTGTTTTTATTTAAATGTTTTTACCCGAATTACCCATATATGGACAAATATTTAAATTCTGGTTAACTTTTCTCAGTACTTAACCAACAAATCGTAATAATCGCAAATTAAAGAGACCTTACTAATATAAATTTGAAAGATTAGATGGATGGATGTTTGTTAGTTTGTACCCTAAACGGCTGTACAGATCTCGTTGAAATTTGGCACAGACCTAGAAGAGAGTCTGGAAGAACACATTGGCTACTAACTTTTGTTTTTTTTAAATTCCACGTGGGCGATAGCAAGTATCTCATAAAATGTTCCAAAATCGAAAAGTTCGCTCGGAAATCGGAAATTTTACTATCAAACCAAGCAAAATTCGATAAATAAATCATATCTTTTAGTTATGAAAAGTACAAAATGTTAACAATGAACTACGTAACAAAGTATAAAATGATAATCAGTTGAATATTTGCACGTTTTCTCATGTTCACCACATTCAGCATTAATTTATCTCGTAGACAATTAACAAGACTTTCCGGTACGGTCCACGCTTTCTTATCTAATGTCAATTTGTACAACATATTAATAGATCTTGTACATAATCTCGTTCCCACTGGTTACTGTGTAACTGCTATATAGGTGTTGTTATATTATATACTAACTGTTGCTCGCGACTTCGCCAGCGTCAAATTAAAAAAAATAATAAAGTATAAAGCCTATGATACTCACTGTACGTCTTAATGGTGAAAGAATTTTTGAAAGCAGCTTAGTAGTTTTTGAATTATTTCAATAAATACAAAAATACAAATCTTTCCCCTTTATAATATTAGGTACAGAAAATGCTTTGCAAGAGAAATTAATAATATAAAATAAATATTGCCTTTATTTAAGAGACGGCTGTGTTGCTAAAGTTTACATTTATTTTATAGCAGTAGCTTTCACTCACTACTTCGTCCGCGTGGAATTAAAAAAGTAAGTAGCCTATGTGTTCTCATAGACTATCCTCTACATCTATGCCAAATTTCATGGACATCGGTTTAGCCGTTTCGGCTACAAACTCTATCAAACATCCATCTATATTTCTAAACTTTCGCATTTATAATATTAGTAAGATTACCTACTGATTTATTAGTGTTAGGTTTAACTAAGTTTCAAAGGAGTAAAACTCAAGTTACATAATGCGCAAACGCATTTCATTAAGTTATGGAACCAACAACGCTAACGAATGGTTAAAAGTAGCTGGAAAACCAGCTTATAACAGTAAGCAACATTTACACTATTCCAAACTTTTAGATAAACTTAACTGAATTCTAAAAAGATATTCATATATCCTAATTCTTATAATTTCATACATACATGACATATTCTATTTTAAGCAGTTGCCAGTCGAAAATTTGCAACACGAAAAAACCACTTTTATATCTATTATCTATTGATAAATTTGACATATATTTCCTACAAGAGATAGAATCTACTAAAGTGATGACATATTAAATCATCTGAGTATATCACGATTTATCATTGAAATAAGACAGAACCTATTATATAGAAATTTTCCATTTCCAATTGACATATCTATTCTCAATTGTCTAAAACCAGTGGATTGAATATAATATAACTTTTAGGACCTGTCCCACCAAATCGCAAACTTAAGTATCCTTTATAATTCAATTTAACAACCTAACGTGTAAAATATGGTTTTTTTAACATGAATAAACCAGCTTAAGTAGAGTAGTGATCAAGCGACCACGACTCTACCTAAGCTAAGTAAGGATGTGATTGAAATATCGGATTTTGTTACCTTATCTGACAGTGACGATATTTTTAAGCTATCTGAGTCTCTATCAGCCAGTGGTGGGACAGGCCCTTACACAAATATACACTCGTGAAATAGTTAAATAAAATGCAAATTATTATAATATCATTTATTGCATCATGCAATACAAGTTCACATTATATTAATGACATTTTTACAATTATATCCTATTTCAAATCCTGTGAATATTCAAACATTACTTGCCAACACATTATTTTAAATGTTCAGACATTTTATAAATTTAGGCACCAAAATCATATTAAAGGGTATGAATTACTGCTGGTTTTGTAGGTTAAAATCTTGTATAGAAGCTTTTTAGCTTAGATATAATGTACTAAAAATATTAGTACGAAAATTATTTTCAATAATCTAACATTTTCAAAAAGAAATTAAATCGTTTATTGTATTGTGGCATTTTATATTAGTTCACCGCGGGTTTCCATACTGTACTAGAATTGAAGTTATAGTGTGATTGCTGGCATTATTTGTGTAAGATCACCGCGCGTTTCCGCAACTGTACTACAGTCAAAATTATTGTGAGTTTGCTTACAAAATGCAGATGTTGACAATTAGGCCTGCACAAGCCGC